GCCCTGCCTGCCCGGCCGGCGGGGCTCAGGGGTTCAGCATCGACCTAGGAACCAGGAGGTCAGGGTTCGATTCCCGATCAGGGCCCAGGCCCAGGTAGTGGGCTCCATCCCCAGTGGGGGGGCATGCAGATCGATGTTGATGATTCTCTCTCTCCCTCTCCCTTCCTGTCTCTCTAAAATCAATAAAAATGAAATTTAAAAAAATAATAAAAGGCTTGAAAATATCCTTGGGTGAGGAGTAACCAAAAAGAAGAGAGAGTGGGTTTATTCCTGGGCTCTTCATTTTATTCTTTTCATCTGTGTCTGTTGTTGGGCCATTGTCCCCCGTTTTGATTCCTCTCGCTTTCTAGTAAGTTTTGGAGTCAGGAAGTGTGAATCTTCCAACTTCATTCTGCTTTTCCAAGGTTGTTTTGGCCGTCGGGATCCCTTGCAATTCCGTTCTAACTGATGACCTGCTTTTGCGTTCCTGAAAAAAAAAAAGAAAGGCCAGGGGGATGTGGATAGAGATTGCGTTGAGTCTGTAGGTCAGTGTGGGGAGTATTAACGTCTGAACTACATTAAGTCTTCAATCTGTGGCCACAAGATTCTTTCTCTTTACTTACGTCTTTAATTTCTTTCAGCAATTGTTGGTAGTTTTCAGTGTACAAGTCTTTTGGTTAAATTTATTCCTAAGTGTTTATTCTTTCGGATGCCATTGTAAATGGAATTGTTTTCTTACTTTCATTTTAGATCATGCATTACTAACATACAAATACAATTGATTTTTTTGTGTGTTGATCTTGTATCCTGTAACTTTGCTGAATTTGTTTATTAGCTCAAATAGTTTTTTGGTAGATTCATTAGGATTTTCTATAGGGTATCCCCCCAAAAGGTATACATACTTGGAATGATTATAAAACCAGTGTTTATTAACATACAGTTCATTTTCAAAATTTACAAGAATTTAGAGAAGTGAATAACTTTATCTCTTTATGTACCCCCATAAAAGAAGTCTAGTGACACTTTAGGGTAAATTTTCTTTGTTCAAAGTTTTGGTATCAGTCTGGCTTCCCCCATTATTCCAAATCAGTTAAACCTGAAGAGTAGTGACGTTTGAGTTATCAGCTGTTAGGGTATACATTTGGGGGGAACGCCCTGTATAAAATCACTAGAGGCCCGATGCACAAAATTCGTGCAAGGGGCTCGGCCCTCACAGCCCGGCTTCATTCAGAAGGCCATTCAGCTGTCCGGTCTAATTAGCATATTGTGCTTTTATTATCAGAGACGTCCTCTGTGGACAGGCATAGTGTCAGCTCTCCTGTCTCAGTGGATGCCCGTGCTTATCTGCATTGCGGAGCGGGGCTGGCCGGCCCTTCCAGGACGATGTTGGATGGAAACGGAAGAGGGCGTCCTTGCCTTGTTCCTGATCGGAGGGAACCAGCCCGCGTAGGTTAGCTGGGCTTTTTGAAACGCCTTTTTCATGTTGGGGAAGCTCTTC